TAAGTTCCCACCAGCTGAATGCATTAAAACGTGATGGAAATAGGTGTGATGATCTTCCTGTTTGGCAATCGTCTCGTTTCGTGTCCTGACATGGACACAAAAAGTACGCGCACTGCTGGTGAGGCCCAGACAGGACGAAACAGCTGTCCAGTGCTCCCTTTGTCGGTTAACAAATCATATTTATGAAAAGAGCCCCAATCAACTGAAGGATACCAAAGATCCTATAGAAAAATAAGGTGACGTTGTCGGGGTTTGAAGGCACTAACTACGAGGCGATTGTCAAATGACTCATGCCGTTCGTTCATCTTCTGTCATTAGGAACCTTTTGAGTTGTGTATTCTTGAACTGCAAAAAACATCCTAACAAGTGAGAAATACCTAAGCAGTGATACATTCATTCATCTGAATTGCAGGTCATTGAATGTTTTGGTTGTTTTCTCATGAAACCAACCGCTGAAGCCAGCCCAGGTAGCTTGGTGGAACATGGCAGTCTTGCGTCTACGGGGTTCGAGCGAGAATAACCTCGATCGATACATGCGATGCTGACAATTTCTAACGAAAATGAAGGAAGTGAATAATGGAGGATTTGATCGAATTTCAAACGTTAATTCGTCGTGTTGTCGGGTGCTTCCTAGCTTTTCGGTTCACGCTTTATTCGCTAGATACATGACGAATTCATCTTTGAAAATTGAAGCAGTTTTAACTGACTACCAGCCCCTGGTAAATGGTATGGTACGAGAGAGAATTTCGTATTACATGATGAATCGCTATGAAACGTTGTATTTACTATGGTTCTGTAATTTGACATTGCTAGTCAATGATAAACATATATATATCTGTAGGCTACTAAAAACGCAAACCGAAGCTCATCTAAGTATCACCCCGAGTAATATTTGAGTTAAAAAATAAGAGAGATAAACGTAATTGCAAAGATGAGTGGAAGGGGACAAGAAAGGGCATCCGATTTGAGGTTTCGAAGAAGTGAGCATCCTTTTTTCAGTGAACTAATTAAATATCCTACCACTCACACGCATGGAACACAGTGTGCAAATTCGATCGATTCGACGATCATTCAACAAAACGATTCATTCATCATTCAAAAACGATTGACCACCAAGAAATTCCTCGGTAGCCTTTTGCACAAGTGGCAATCGGAGAGACCCTGAAGTGAATGCGAATCGGTCAAGCAAGCAAACGCATTGGATCTTAATGCTTTGGCTTTGTAGCCCGCGCGGAATGTTTCCGAGCAAAGTTTCCTGCACGAACGGTTGTTTAATCAGCGCTGAAGCATTTACTATTTGACATTAGAATCGAAAACAAAACATCAAGTCAGACATCTGTGTTGAGAACGCATCCCTATTTTGAGGAAGAATGTATGAAAATTCATTTCAAGTAGGAATCAGAATGAACAAGTTGTGCTTAAAACTGGCTCTGCGACCTGTATGTGTGTTGGTCTCTAATCCGCGCCGCGTTTATCTACATCATGCTTGAAGAGGATTTTCTTGGGGGTAGAATTTAGAAACCTGCATCTGAATAAAATTGATTCTTTTTCCGAACCAAATCCCTGACTCGATGGAAATCTTTTTTATGACCGAAAAAGAGCATTGGACAGCTGTTTCGTTCTGTTTTGGCACTCGTCAGCAGTGCATACGTTTAGTATCCCTATCAGGACTTGAACCATGAACATTCGGGTCGGGACTTCAAATCCTTCCCCTGAGCTACACGGTCGACCATCAACAGTGCTTAGTGCCTTTGAACAATCGAATGGGCTCATCCAAGCTTGATACCTCTTGATACCCTAAAAGCCCTGATTTTCTTACAGGTAGCTTGCATTTACTTGTGAGAAGTAATAGGCTTTCGGGTATTGTATTGTAATGTTTGTAACTTTTGCTATTACTGAAGCTTGCATTTCAGCTTTTTCTACCGTACATGCCAACCGTCCCGGAGAACATATTTCACGGAGAAAATGTTTCCAGACAGCATGGGGATATCACATAATCCGAGGTTAAGACAAATGTCCCTTACTTCCCTCTCCATGTTTGTGAGTAGACGTGCAAGCTAGGGTATAGTTGAATTTCGGTAAGCGTTTAGACAAGATGAAATTTGGTGGAATTGAAGGGATGGGAACGACAACTTATTAGTTATGTATATAATGAGTGGCCATGATCTGTGAGAATCCTCTCCGCGAATCAGACAATGAGTTTTATGACACTATGAATGATTTATAATATTTAGACAGCAGAAAAAATACCTGGTGAACAATAAATTCAACTAGGGAAAACATACTGAAACACACATGTAGAAATAACTGACTTGGATGAGCGAAACTGCCTCAACTTTCGAATTTGAAATGATGGACCACGCGGTTGTGAACGTGGGTTAACGAACCACAATTTCTATCTGTAGTTACACCAAGATATTTGACAGAGTTCCCTCTATATAAAGGCTTGTTATTAATCCCCATATGATCTGTCTTGTATGAGGAGCGTGCAAATCTATTTAAGCACTGGACACATTTGCTGGGAAGGAGAATGACTGAATTTGATCAATATTTTCGGTGAAGTGGCCTAAATCAGAGAGAAGAAATAGTTTGGTACAGCACGAAGTTGTCTGCACATTTCAAAACATGTACAGGAGAAACACAAGGAATATCACAAATTTACGTGGAAAATAAGTGTGGGGATAGTACTGCTGTTTAAGTAACTCCGAAGTTATTGGCTAAGTGTTCAGCTGAATCCTTTCCTATTCTAGTAGTGTGTTCTCTATCAGTAAAATAGTTAAATAGGCAAGCTAACAACTGCTTGAGGCATTCAAACAATTGACTGAGGAATGGAATCCAATGCTGTAGAGTAGTTAGATGAAACACGTCGAACAAACTTAACAGAGTTGTTCTACGACTGAGAAATAAAATGACTAAGGATGGAGACTCTGTATAAGTTGTATCTATCAGGCTTTTACACAAATTGTAACGGATAATTGGAAATGTTTATAGACTGATGAAGACGTTTGAGGATAGCCTTTTCAGTCAGCTTAAGAGTTGAAGATGTTAACGCTATGGCTCGAAAATGTTTAGAGAGGACAGAAGATTTGTATGCTTTTGGGATTGGTATGATTTTAACCGGTCACCAACAGTCAAGGATGATGGAAGTGTAGTGTGATTCATTTACATTGGAGGTGATGGCCTCAGTTAGGTGAGAAGTACCAAGTACTGGAGGTAAACCATCCGGGCCTGTAGCAGAAGACAAATTACGACTGTTTACAAGTTTTAGTATATCACAATTTGCAAATGGTTCCATATTACAGAACTGGTGTGGTGAGTAGGTAGGTGTTATTGATTTGTAATGACTGTCTTTATCTGTCTTCATCTAGATCAACAATAATCAGTTCATCCCGTCAACTGTAGACCCAGGCAAATCAATAAACTCCGGTTTCGCTTTGTTAAAGCTCACCACCAGTGCATATGCACCACCGTCCTGTCCGGGTTTTGAACTCCAGATCCCTGGCATGGAAAGTATGTATGTATTATCACTGCGCTAAACAATTCATACCGGGGCTCACCACGATCACCAATTCAAGTTTGTTTAGTTATCATCTTTGATAACGATAAATGAGGTCACTGGTCCTGACAACAACTGAGCAACTCTTTTCGAAAACCTGTAGCCAAATCAGAACTTCCATACAGGTTCGGGCAACATGATCGTAACTATAAACCAGTTAGGCAAGAGTTAAACTCAATCAGTCAACGTCTCGTATTAGTTAATTAAACTGGTCAATGATTGCTGATTTTGTGAAGAATTTCGAGGTCAGATGCCAACGTTTTTGGTTTGTTTCCATCAGTAGATTGGACGTGATGGCCCGGTAGTAACGTTACCAAAATTGTCATCTCGGAAGACGTGCGTTTGAATCCCACTCCATCGCCACCCCGCTTTCCCCAATGTGTGTGTGTTGTATGACAGCCGTTTGAATGGTCGCTTCCCCCTTTCCGAAAATTGTATCATTCAATGTGTTCAATAAAAGGAAGGAAAAATAGAAAACGTCCATTCTGCTAGACAACCAGCTCGTTCCAAAGCTGAACTTTCAACAATTTTCTCGAGAACAAATGTTCCAATTCCACTGGAAAATATACGCACTTTTTTAAAATATATTTCTACAGTTGCACACACCCCCAGGTAATTAACTATATACTCGTTAGATGGTATGTTGTTCTGTGACTGGCCTAGTGGAACGGTACCGGTCCGAGTAAATTGCTTTCACTCTGCTTGATTAGGTCGTGAAATAAAAACGGGACTCAAAATTAGCGCTATCTGAAAGATGCATTTGACTCAACGAGCGCTTTGGATGGGCTATTCAAGGATGACAGCTCATAATTCATGAATTGATTACCCTAAAGGTGTTACTCGTTTCACTTGTTTATTCATATTCAGAAAAGCATGAGTCCAAAGCAATCATAACTGTGTGTGTGTTTGTGGAGGGGGGATTTTAAATGTTACTCGCGGTCAGTGTACACTTGAAGGTCGCAATCCCAAAATAATTTAACAATTGGATTTAATCGTTGTTCGTAAATTAAGTCCACAGAAAGAAATTTCTATGCATGCCTAGCACGTGGTCTCTAACACGATCGGAAAACTCCAATCTTCCTATGAAATTGAATCATAAAAAGTTTACTTGACAAATTTCACTATGCCCAAAGCAAAAAAAATGTGGATGGCGAAACTGCAAATAACTGCGCATATAGCTATTTCGAGGATTTCCCATTATTATCAACAGTTAGAACTTATCGACTGAACTTGGAATCGAACCTGGGAACACACGGGTTGTACGCAAACACCTGATCAATCTGCTCCACTTCCTTCCTTCTTCAACTTTACCATCACGGATATTTCTATCTTAACTTTTTCAGTGCCCGTCAAGTAAAATGGTAGGTAAATTTTCATCAGGATTACTACACATAGAATTACTGGTTACGCAAGTTAGATCACGTGATTAAAATGGGCATGCAGTTCACACCAAATAAAACGAGTCTATCCCTCCCCCTGTTGACAAACCACTTACACTGGGAATATTGTCTGGTGTGCATATACCTTCCTGAAGTAAGCGATCCCGTATCTCCCAGGCAAAGATTGACGGACATTCACGTTTGTATATGTCAATTTTCGCCACCACACTGCTTGTGGCCACTCGGGGTTTGCTTCCACCGATCGCTTTAGGTCGGATTGAACCGGTCTCGTAGTAGCGACAGAGAATTTTCGACACACAGCCATTAGACACTTGAAGTATGCGTGAGATATCACACGGTCGTGCCCCGGAATGTGCCAGCTCGATAATTCGTTGACGAGTACTGTCAGGCAGGGGACGCCCATTGACAAACATTCCGCCCAACTGGTTCACTCCGGAATGACCTGGTTCGATATGAAAGGAAAAGTTGATGATCAACTTTTTGAACTTCATCAAAAATTTGAGCACGGGGAATCGAATATGCTATGTATCAGTTAGCTCACACTTTATAACACTTTGTAACTAACAGTTATCATGCAATTCAAGCAGCTGATCACTCAAGAAATACAAGATAAAAAATGAAACAGACAACATATATGGTGAGAAGATTCCACAAAATGTCATCCACATCGGAAGGAATAGGTGTTTGTGCACTTTACAGACGGCCAAAGTGCCCGCCTATGCACTGGGTAACTAACCTTCTATAGTACTACTTTGCTCTCAGGCTAACGAATGTGGCCGAATCACTGGGAGGACTTGACGATGGACTAAAGCAACTCTCATATGCATTTTATCATTTCATATTAGCAAATTAAACCCATAAAGTTAATCTGAAAAATTCGGTAAGGCCAATATTTATAAATCAGAAGTGATAACGGTTCGTCATCTCTTCTTATGGCTGTCCTAAACTGATGGAAATTGTTTAAATGGAAAACGGACAGTGCATTGTCTCTTCTATGATTATGAGTGAATTGTCCATATGAATGAAAACGTGTTGCGTGGAACACCTACGGAATCAGAACCGGCTGGAGGGACACAATTAAAATGTAAGCACATAGTTTGACAAGATTCGCCTCAAACTAAATCGAACCACGTTGAATGCTTTGTTCAGTTATTGACCAGTTGATTAACTATCCGAAAAGCAGCTTGTTTTGGCTATTCCAATATGTTGTAAATGTCGCATTGAAAGCGATGGTAATCTTTTTGATGACCGACAAAGAGCACTGGACAGCTTTTTCGTCCTGTTTGGGACTTGTCAACAGTGAGCGTACTTTTTGTTTCCCTGTGAGGACTCCAGTCACGAACCTTCATCCGATACCTGTGAAAAAAACGAATGGGCTAATCCAAACATCACCCGTCTAAGTCGCATTGAATATTACCCACAATGAAAAACATTCAGTTAGGTTATTAATAAAAGGTTATTCATTTATGAGTCCTTGAATAGACAAGGGGACAAAATTGCAACCAATGGAAACTAAGAGAAACCAAAGGTGGATATCGAAGTGGAATTTCGGTGTATGGCATTGGTAAGGTTAATGTTGTGAGCTAGATTGGACTGAGATGTTGATTTGAAAAACCTCGCCCCAAGCCTTTGACAAATTAGAGAAAACCAAAGAGAGTTATGCGTACTTCGTTTGAGTCAGTTAAGGTCAGTCTTCAGTTTGTACAACCATTAACCATGCAATTTTGTGCACCAGTCTTAGTTACTGTCTTTTGTCTGCTTATTTAAATCAAGTAGCAAAAGAAAGACCGGAAAGTTGAGAGTCGAAGAGAAAATGGACAATTTCAGTAGACTAAAGTTGCAAAGAAATTGAGTACATGCACGAGCGCCACTGCTTACCACACTCAGCCATATCACTGAGTGTCTCTAACCACCGGTTATCATGCTCTCTGGGCCCCCATACAAGGAGCCCAACGAGACCTATGTGAGCAAGTCTCCTGGTTAGGGTTTTCATACCCTCATGCCAGGTTTGCTTTTGACTACCCTTTACTTTGTTCTACTCGATATTTGCCTCGGCAAACAGCACACGCCGTGACAATCAATTTGGTAACATGCGCAACACATGTCCCAACCAACGTAATCTATGGAGGTCTACCACTTGCTCCAGTGGGCGGCTGTGATTACCTAAAACTCTGAGACTAACCTCAGCATTGCTAGTCCGGCTGCAATGCAATGTCGCGTAGACAGCGGTGTTTAAACACCGACAGTCTATCTTTATTCCATTTTCTTAATGGCCAAGTTTCTGCGCCGTATGGCAGAACTGTTGAAACATACACTCTATCCTTTACGAACAGCCGGATGTCGCGGCGGTGCCACAGATGTCTCACACTGGCAAATGCCAACCGAGCCTTCTGTATGCGCCGACACTTCATCCGTGTTGCGTCCATCGGGTGATTTATAGCGGGCAAATAATAAATTTGGTCCACTTACTCTAATACTTCCCCAGTTAGAGAGAGGCTGGGTGTTAGACTAACTTGATCTTGTAGCAATCCAGTCTTGCTGGACTTCTTTGAATCCACATTCTACCGGTGGCCGATGCAATATCCATTCAATCAGCATTCTTAGAACAGTGATTTCCGATCTAAGGGGTCCAATACATACCAGAAATCCTCGAGACGACGATGATCTTGCATTCAGCAAGTCGTTTCACATGCTGTATCAAGGTGAGTTTGGAATCGGCATTTGCAATCCCCTCTAAATAAGGTAGCTAACTCTGGATTATCAGTTCCCTGATATATAGCACCATATTTGTTTTCTCGCACGCTCCGTTTTGCTTCGTCATGAGTGCACAATGTGTAAGAGTTCCCCCGCTGAGAATGTGAACGCAAATTACTTCAAGAGAAGCAGAAGCAACGATTGTCGTTCATGTTGGAATAAACTTCATATATTATTGCAAAATATTCCATAATGCCGCTTAAGTCGAGTCCACTGTGATTAATAACATCTAACCCATCGATAAAACTTCAAACCATAGTATTGATTCATCAGTCGACTGGTTCTGAAAGAGCTGCTCAGACAAATTTACCCGCTGTTGCAGATGTATGTATTTTAAAATGTATTTTTACTTTCTTTTTCAATTTATTGAATATACAAATGTACAGTCAACTTTCAGGAAGGGGGCTGTGGCCATATAAAGGCTACCTGGGGAAAATACAGATATATGGGAGAGGTAATTGTTACGAGAACTCAGTTTCTGTGTACAACTAAATGAATGAAGTGAAACAGATGTCTGACGAGCTGCAAGAACCGCGGAACCAATGATATGTTTCCGGGGCAAGTTTATCCGGTCACTCATATTATACTTATGAGTTATTATATATATATATATAGCTCGGTTTCCAATCCAAAACCATTTTATAATCGAAGTACTAAGTGATTGGAAATTATGAGAAAGTGTGGATAAAAATTCCCGAGGTTATATGCCACTGAAGATCTTGACGACCACCCTCGGAGAACATTATTACCGGTTAGATAGGCATTAGGCAATTAATTGAATGTATCAACACAACACGTGCAGAGTTCATTTCTAAAATGGATTTAGTGAACTAGTTACTCGCACGATCAAGTTTTCCGTGGCAGTACAATACCTGTAAGTATTGAACATAATTTCCGGTTGTTCATTCGTGTAATTCACTCTGTCCAGACAGCAAAACGCAGCAATGTAAACATCCCACCCATTCACCGACATTCCTTGAATTTCTATCTGGTTCACAACGGGGAAAATAAAACATGAAATCATGTAAATACACACAGAGAGAAAGAGAGAAGTGGTGGGGTATGAATTGGACCCGTGCTGGTCCGTGCTAACCTTGATCGACCGTACCTCGTTTGAGTTTTCGTTTGTTCCGATCGTCGCCCAACTCGTTGCTATCGCTGAGTGAACCCATGCTGCACGTTTGGGGCACTGGAGAACGGGGAATCGGATGCGGGGGGGGGGGGGGACAGAGCGGGTAAGGTGAGAGGAGAAGGGAACGAGTGGATGGAATTGCGTGCTCTGGTACCCAGATAGGTAGGTAGATATTGAATCTATGGTAAGATGTGCGCAGTACTGATCTCATGTTCACCCGTCTTGAATTTTTCTCACAATGGCTACTACACCAACTTTATATGCCCTTTTGCGTTGTGGACTGTTTTTGTTTAATTGAGTACCATGAGGTAAATCATCAACATCATCATCTGAATCATCATCATTATCATTACGACTTTTGGTCATGGCAAAATTTCAAAGTTCAGAATTGAATTACTTATTATTATTTATTAATTTATGATATTTTCCACAGGAATCTAGAACGTTATTTGTATACACATCGAAGCAAGTATTGTTTATTAGGTAATTTTAGATGAGAAATTGCTTTGCACAATCTGATTTATGATTTAAAATTGGAACTCAATGTGTTAAATACCGAGAGCAGTATAAGACAAAGGAAGTTTGTTTTAAACAGGTGAAGTCTGGCATCTTTTCAAATACCATTATGCATTATACTTCAAGTTTGTTGGTGTACCGTAAACCCATACAGGTGTTGATCGAACTCGTGCAATGTGACTCTCATTTTGGAATTACATTTCAGTTTCCAATAGAATACGTGTATATCGATAGCTATGACAAAGTGAAAGTAAAACACATGTTCCATAAGTAATCTGTATAAATAATTTATGTATAATTGTTTGTTCTACTGAACCTTTGTTATTTTTTTTCCACTGATGCACTAATAACCGTCGTTAAAATCGAGAAATCGTAAAGTTAATGGCATTCGATGATCAACAGGAGTAAAAACACAAGCGGATATTAGGCCAGGTATGTTGCGTCTGATGTGGGGCAATACCATATTCAATCTCCCGTGAATGAGGCACAAAACACTGCGGTTGGGAGAAACAATTGTGCTGAAAGTCGGGTTGTTGCACGAGTTTGATCAATACCTGTAATTCAAGATCGGTATTTTTGTTAGCCTAATCAGTAAAAAAAATCCGCCACTGAAGCCCATAAGAATGGACAAAGCATTGAGCTCTTGTTTGATGCTGTTCTGTGCTCACTGGACCGAAAAGATATAAAGAACAGCTCGCAGTACAGTCATCAGGTGTCAGGTTTGCGCTAGATTGTATCAGTACGGTTAAATTTATTTTAGTTGGCGAATATTCATGCAGAGTTGCAGTAGTAAAGCTGGTGGAAAGTCTTTGACGAATGTTTACGTCATTGCCACCGATAGACAAATACTTTAACTCCGTGCTTGAGGGACAACTATGTGGGGGACATCTATGTATTTTTCACCATACGTTCAAATTAGATTGTTGTTGTTGTTTCTGTTGTTTTTGTTGTTGTTGTAAACCAACCACATGACAACAGAGCAGTCGTTTTCAAAACTATATTTCAGCTGTGAAACTGAACATTTACCAGACGCACAAGTGAGCTTCTGCAAATTTTCCCATTCTCAACGGTCCAGATGAAAACAACCGAATTCGTTGAGCCTGTTGACTACTGTCCATAGGTATTGCTCACGGTATTGTTCAGTTGTCGATTTTTGTGCTTCAGTAGAACACTTTTCTACAACCCAGAGCCCTGTTTGTTACCTTTACCACGTTTATCACGTTTCTCATCCATGAGATCGCATTGCGGTCCCTTAGAACCTTATTCAGTTCCGGTCTCCGACTAAAATGACACAAAAAACATACTGAACTGGTTCTGCTTCTTTTATTCTCGTCTTACCAATAGATGAAAAATATAGACCAAAACATTTGCCTAAAGCACTTAGTCAAGCTTGTTCTCGCATTTTCGTTACTCTCGAATTTTATAACTCATTCTTTTTGATTGCCTTTCAAATAACTTGTTCTCGTGTAAAGGTGTGATCGCTAGGAACGGTACTTGACACAAAGGCTCATGGATAAATCCATTACTAACTGATGATGTTCGCACAGTCAGTGAAAACACAATAGCCATCATTAAGGCAAGCTTAATTGACTTCGAGTTATAAGCACCAGTCCAATCAGGATAATCTATCGATTCTTCAAGGTCATTTCCTTCAATTGCCTGAACAATACGTGTTTTACATGGAATCAATGAAGTGAATGAGAGAGGATTGGGGCATATAGATATAACTCACGTGCTGATCTGCACGTATTGCAGGTTGGTCGGATCCACGGTGCACAAAAGTTGAAACGGTTGGATGGTCCGAAGTGCAGCCGATTGCCCGTGCTTACTCGCTCGGATTGTTTCACCAGACTGGAATGACCCGAGGACACGGGTACGTTGCAACACGCCACCCTTTGAGGAGGCTTGTTGCGTACAGACGAGTTAAGCTCCTGGGGGGCGGAAACAATTGATGATGGTTTGGTCCTGTTGAATCAGGTCCGTTGTGGGTGTTACATTGACACTTCGGAGAGAACGTGGGCCACCGATTTGAGGAGTGTTCGCGTACGAGGGCGGTCAGGCAGCAAAGACGACCGGTTCAACTGAGTGCACCCAAGCAGTGGAGCGATCAACAGTCGTGAATAGCAAATACGCACGTCCAATTATTGTTTGTTGATGTGTGTGTGTGTGGGCGGGGTGGTGAATACTTGAATGCACCCGACCGTACGTGTCTACGAATGTACGTGCCAAAGGACAAGAAGACTAAGTAGGACCCGGAGAGTCTTTTTACAGCGCTGAAAATGGGTTGCGATCCAGTTCGATTTGAACACACAAACATGCCTGACTATAGGACCACACAAT